CATCCAGCACACTTCCTTGGGGATAATTTTTTAGGGATGTGACAGCTGGAGAACCTTGCTTCTGCTTTACATTTTTAGGCAACATTTTGGTGTAGGAAAGAGAAAGGCAAAAATTTCCCCTCTGCCTTTTTTTGTCTTTGGTTGGAAGGATTTTACTTGAGATTTTTTTTTTTTTTAATGAAGCCTCTGAGAAGTCATATTGCATCTTCCAAACAAACTGCTGAACTCAACTGCTTTTACCAAACGCATGCAAAATTTTCCCCTCAGGATCCTTAGAGGCCCTGGAGTGCCTGCCTTGCAAAACCTGGGGCAGTGAACAGAGTCATTCCAGAATGATTTCCATAGGATACCTTTACACAGAGTGCTTAAGTGTATTTATAAATACATTCATACACATTTAACACATCAGATTCTCTTTTGGTCCATTACTGCGCGCTCCAAGCAGAAGGAAAAATAACCAAGGTATCCAAAGAGCTGCTGCCCAGCTGGTAAGCTCTGAAAAATCCCAAACCCTCCAAGAGGCACAGACAGAAGCAGTTTTTATCAGTGGCTTTCTCCTGCCCCTGAATACACGTGGTTGTCTCTTTGTGATCATTTCAGATGCCTCAGGAACAGTATCCACACCGGAGCACCATGCAGACCTCGGAAGGACCCCAGGTATACAAAGTGGGGATTTATGGCTGGAGGAAGAGGTGCCTCTATTTCTTTGTGCTGCTCCTAATGATTTTAATCCTGGTGAACCTTGCTATGACCATCTGGATTCTGAAGGTTATGAACTTCACAATTGTAAGTAGGGGTTACCCTGGAAGGTCTGGGGAAGATGAGGGAGGGTGCTGGTCTTCTGAGCATGACTTCAGATACAGCTTCAATAATGGGGTGTTTCATTGCCATGGACAGTCCTCTTATAGAGAGGAGCAAATTTACACAATGCAAGTTCCTCTTATCTGCTGTGTATGTATATATATATACCTGTATTTATGTAAACAATATACACCACCCATCCCCAATTTTCAGTTATATCAGTGTTTTAAAATTAATGAAATTTATTATTTTGAATTTGGATGCGGAATGGGTTTGAGCATTTCTCTTGAGACTTTTTCTGGTTTTCTCCATGACCAAGGAAGACAAGATTATTGATTTGCTTTTTTGCTTTGGGAAAATTCATGTTGTTCTATAATGATGTAGTTCTGGAAGCTTCATGAAATAAAATAAAATTTACAGGGTATCTCCCTGGCTGTGGTACTTAGGTGGAGCATGTCCTTATCCTTCTGTTGCTGTGCTTGGTGCACATCAGTCCTGGAGCAGCACAGACTCCCTGGCTATGGTTAGCTTTCCACTTCCAGGGCTTGTGAGCCTATATATATATGGCAGATCCTTCTTTTTCACTAGATAATTTGGCTAGGCAGAGTGAAAATGAAGTTATCAGTCACTTCTTCTTCAAAGTAGTCATTGCCTCCTTGTCCAGGTGAGATTATTCATTTTAAGATTGTTTGAGTCTTCAGGAGAAGCCAAGTCTGCAATTAAATCCTGGTTTTACTTCCTGAGGGATCTGTAAAGCTACACTTCCCTAGACAACTTCCAAGGACCTTCCCAGCCAGGCTCTGATATGAGCAGTGTGTTTTAAGTCTTTCTGGGATTTCTTTTCTCTGCTTTCTGTCTTGTGCAGTCCCAAACAGCTGTGTCCAACATTATGTCATTAATGGGCCATGAGAAGTTGAATAAACAATCTCTGGCTTCCTGTACCCAGCAGATGAAATGCTGTGTCAGGGGAACGTGTAGTGTTCATTTTCTCTAACCAGGTTGCTGTCAAGGTGTGCAGAAGATTGCAGTGCATGTGTGCATAGGGAGCAAGCAATTATAAAGCAGTAATCCACAAAAAGCTCCTGTGAGCAGGCAAAGAGTGGCCAAAGTGGAGCAATTAATGCTTAGCCAGACCAGTTGTTTAATCTTGTGAAATTGATGCCATTTTGATATCCATTTCGTGCTGAAGTATGGTTCTGTAGTTTAATGGAGTTGAGAAATAGGTATCTCTGAGGTAATGGAGGAGTTGGTCATTCACCATTCGTCAGTGGTGTGGGTATCAACCCAAGAACAAAATAAAAGGATTTCAAATGATCACTTTCCAGGAATACAGCTTTATTTCTTACTAATAACTTCAGTCCCATGCATTTTTGCTAATTGGTGGTGTTCAGTCAGCTCTCTACAGATTCCTTGGGAAGTCAGGTGAACATCTGTGCTCTTTCTCCATCCCTGCCCTCTCATCATGCACTGCATTTTGCAGGCCAGGTGCTGAAATGCCATCTCCTAGGGATGTGTGCAGAAACCTCCCATTTCCAGCAGCTCTGTCCCCCCACTAGGATACAGACTGGCCTTTGGGGTCGTGCACTGATCTTCAGTTTCTTGTCCAATTCCGTTTCCTTACTTGCCCTCAGATTACTGGGGATTATTCCAGGGTAAAGCATATTTGTGTATGGCTTAGTTAATTCATATCTGCTAATGCTAGTGGATGATGAACAGCATCTGGTGATAAAAACACAGGTGGTGCCACTGAGTCCTGCAGTGGGAGCAGCTTTATGGCCGTAGGCATGGCCACACTAGGCAGGGTGAGTGTTTCTGGCACAGCCAGTTGGAAATAAACATAAGAACTGGGCATGTAAAATGTGAGTCTTGCCCCAGTATGCACCCATTCATCTCCTGATCTCCTGCTGCTCCTGCAGCCTCGCCAGCTGCTTTGGATCCTGCTCTGCAATCCCTCCTGCACCATTCCCTGAGGCTGAGAAAAAACACTCGGCTAAGTGAGTTTTTAGAGGCAGACTTTTATCTCTAAATAACAAATGTAGGAAAATTATCAAATGAGCAGATGCAAATATGGGAAAATCTTTAATTTGTTCCTGTTCTGATAAGAGGAGCTGAGAGTCCTTCTGGGGCAGAGGAGTGATCTGAGTAGTCAGTAAGCAATAGCTGCTGCTTAACAGGGCTGAGTTACCCCAGTGCTTGCAGAGCAGAAAGGAAGGGAAGGTTTGTGTTTCTGTTCTTCTGGAAAATGTAGTATTTCTTTCTAACATCTTCCCACCCCTGAGCTCTCCTTCCAGAACCTGAGTCTGTTCAACTCCAGAGAACAGTCCTGGCGCTTACCAGAATTTAATGATGCTCGTTATAGCCAATAAGTGCTCACAGTATTTTAATGAGCACAGCAAACCTGCTCAGGAAAACTCAGGGGTGTTTTAAATGCTGATAGTGGGGAGTGGAGAGTGGAGAAAGAGGAAGGAGATGAAGTAAGACAATCTCAGGATACAAAAACACCTCCTCATGCTTGCTGTAGCAGCATCCATCTACTCCAGTTCCTTGTTCAGCCCTGACCTCCCTTCCTCTGCCCTCTGCCTGCCCTCCTGGCTTGTGCTCCAGGAGACAGCTCCTGTAAAATCAAGTCATAAGCTTCCAATTAGTGGCTTTTAACAAGCAAGCATCACTGATTTATTCTAGGTTTTGCTTTTATTTTAATGTTTAAATTTAAATTAAACAAATGTATGTGTAGCTATTGCCTCTTACACAGGGCTGTCAAAGCAGTGTCACACCTGTGTAGGGACAGCTGGTCACTGTCTGCTCTGTCCTCTGGCACAATCATTCATTTTTCATGTACTGTTTGATACTCAATTTGTTTTAAATGCCTTTATCTAGCACAGGCTGTACGAAAAACAGGCCTAGAGGGGACCTCAAATGTCGTGTGCCTGTCCCACAGCTGGTTCCCACAGCCAGGTCCATTTGCTGTGTTCATTTACATCAGGGCTGAGCTGCTCTGGGGTTGCAGGAAGTTATGGGCAGGCTGCTGCCTCTAAACCTTGCTTGTATTTTTAAGCCAAACCATAGAATGAATTTGGACCAAAGCCACCAATTTGGTTGAAACCCAAATGTTCCCTGAAGGTGGCCTAACCTAATTGAGGTAGAAACCACCATCCAGCACTCAGCTTTCTGATGCTGCATAGACACAGAGTGCCCTGCTTCGTTCAGATCTTGGACAAGCCTGGTAGGAAGTCTGTGGTTTGCACATACTGAGCTTGGGGAAGTGGTGTGAATGCCTGTGGGGTGTGTGTGTGACTGAACCACTCAGTCTGCAGGTCCTACACAGGCCACAGCTGCATCCTGCAGTCACAGCAGTGTGGCAGAGGGCTCAGCCTCCAGCTGAGGAAACTGCAGCTGTGGTGGGCTCAACCTGCAGCTGTGGTGGTCATGATGTCCAGATGTGGCAGTCTAAACCTGCAGCTGTGGTGGTCATGATGTCCAGATGTGTCAGTCTAAACTCCAGCTGTGATGGTCATGATGTCCAGCTGTGACAGTCTAAACTCCAGCTGTGGCAGGCTCAACCTCGAGCTGCACAGAGCTTGGCTGAGGCAGGCACAGCCCCTGCATGGGTTTGTAGGTCCCAACTTAATTACAAAGCTGGAATGAGAGCTCTTAACAACCTCCCTCTTTCTGGTCCACCTGCATTAGCAGGCAGTGGTGCAGCTCTTTGGCAGCTGCATTATTAGCACATGCATATTTTATGCTCCACACCGATGTTGTGCTGGGGATCTCTGTTTCACCTATTACTAGTGAGCTTAAAACATTTTTTAAAAAGCTTCCTGATGTATTAGTTTCTGAATATTACAGGAAAAGATGTGCTTACATAAACACAGCAAACCAATATCCTTACTTTAAGCACTCCAAAGCTAGAAAGCTCTGATAATGGGCAATGACAGTGCATTGACCTCTTTCCACAAGGGTAGCACACAATGCCTGGTATTTTAAATGGTGTTAGGAATCTGAAGCACTATCCATTAGTACCCCTTTAGAGTCTGTTAGGCAGCAGGCAGAGCTTTAAACAGAAGAGATGAAGACTGTGTCCTGTTGTGGCTGCATTTAAATGTCAAACACCCTCCTGCTTTTCTGCCCATCAAACCATATAGGACCTTTTGCTTTTCCTTTGTTCTTGCCTGGTATTTCTGTCCAGAGATCCTGTTTGCTTGTTATGGATTGTATTTTTTTGGGACGGGAGCTGTTTGCATATGTAGTCTTATATACTGGCAGGTTCTACTAGACTTTAAACTGTAATAAATAGAAAATAATTCAATTTTTTCCCCAATCAGTCTGCAAGGCTTGAAATTCCTGGAGAACTGTGTTCTAAGAATCATCCAAAGTAAAGGCTTCAGATTAGTTTTGTAAATAAAATATTCTGCAACTTGGCATTCAGGAGTGCCCCTGTGAGCCAAACTTTACATTTCTTCCAGACTGGGAGAGCACCATCCCTGGAGAGATTTACAGATGTGCAGCTGTGGTACTCAGGGACAGGGTTTAGGGTGGACTTGCAGTTCTGGGTTCGTGGTTGGACTCAGTGATCTTAGAGGTCATTTCTGACCCAAAAAATGATTCTGTGACTTCATGTGCTGCTTCCAGGCCTGTGCAAGCTGTTTGTGCCATCTGTGTGTGCACCTCCAAGGGGATGCAGTGTGGAAAGGGCAGGCAGTGACCCCTCCTTCCACCTTCCATGGGGTGCAGAGGGGGATCTTCCCCTCCTGATCCAGGCAGGCTCAGCCTGGGGACCCTGACCACAGCACGTGCCAGCTCTGGGTTCTCCTTCCATAACCACACAGGGTTTGCACCCTTTAGCATGAAGTTCAGCCATATTTTATTATTTTAATTGAAGAGGAACAAATTACTTCAATTGTTCAGTTTTTTCCCCTTTTTTTTGCCTCAGGCTGCATTCATAGCTGAAGGGGTCTCTTTTAGCAATGTTGGATGAAATGTTGGCA